GCCTCCCAGCTGGGCTTCCAGATCCCATGCCCGACCTACAATTATCCCCTGCCTCTTGTTCAGAGAGAATGCTGGAAAGATGAAGACAGCAAGCGATGTGCTTAACGGACAAACCTCTGCGGGGACGAGCAACTCTTCAGGCTGGATTTTTTTGGCAGTTGCTTGTCCTCTTGTTTTAAACCCCGCCAAGAGCCAGAGAGAATCAATATATCCAAATACACCAGACTTCTCCCAGAGTCCCTTCGCTGGTTTGCTGCTGATGTATAGACAGATGATCTCATGAGACCTCTGCCACATTAGGCCACCGTGTCTCATCTATCTTAAGTGCGTATACGAGCTGTGATTGCTACCGCGTCCGAGCGCCTCACGTCTTGAATGCATTTCTCCTCCCCATCAGTCCTGCGAGACGAGGGACTGCCGTCGTACCTCTTCCAGGGAGGACGCGGAGGGCCGCGGAGGTTAAACGGACCCGTCGCCGAGGATATCGGGAATGTGTCTGCCCCGTCTCCTGCCTCTGCCTCGCGAAGCGCCGAGGCGGCGCCTACCCCACAAATCCCGGACTCGGCTCGGGGCCGCGGCTCCGCACAGGCTCTACCTTTCGGCACGCAGCCTAATCCCGAGATTAACCAGAGATTCCCGCTATAAAGACCTCTCGATCAGACCTCTTCCGAGTAAATACACCATCGAGCCAAAGCGTAATGTTTTCCTACCCTGGCAGCCGCTGTCTTAAGCCTTACACCAGAATCCATCGTACTGCAGCAATAATCACAAAGCAATTGGACCAAACCATGGCAGAAAAGCCCATCACGGGTCGTTAAGGATGACGACTTGGATGCAGCCTCTGGCTCACGACGTGGCGCGGGCAAGGCGGATGAGCCAGCGGAGGAATCCGCAGGCGCACACCTACTTTTTACGCCCCTTTACACGCTCTCCTTGTGCCCCTGGTAACCCCACTTGCCGCCTGTCCCCAAAGCCCTCCTTATCCTTAATGCTAAGCCGTGCCTGCTCCTCCTGGGACAGAGGCTGCCTAGCCCTCGTCGCTCCCGGGAGAGCTTTCGCCTCGACTCCTCGCTACATTTCCCGAGCTTAACGGGCGGCGTGCCGAGTCTCCTGTCTGCGGCACGGATAAATATCCCCCGGTTAGCTCTACGCCATGCCGCCTGCTCCGCTAGCGGGAGGCTCCGTGCGCTTTGGCGTCGCCCCGTGCCCGGCAGCTCGGGGCGCTTTCTCCTGGCCAAGAAATCCCAGCCTTTGTCCGCAGAGAGACGAGAACCGGGCCGGCGACGTGGCGATCGCCATGACAACATCAGAGTTACCCCCAAAAAGAAATACAAAGCCCAGTAACTATGGAAACACCTGAGTGACCAAAACCAGACTATTAACTACAAGACCTCTCCGCAGTTTACAGATGGCGTCGGCACCGCGAGGCTGGGGAACATAACGCACCCGAAGCCTTGGAAACGAAGGGATGCTCGGCACCCAGGGGTGCAATCGTGACCGTGCTGGGCACCCGCACCGCCACCTCTCGGACCTCGGTGTCCAAGTCCTCTGCACAACCTGCATCGCCTCCTGCAAAGACGCTGCTGCCTTCACGCCAGATGTAATATTCGGACCACGGTTATCGACATCCTTCTCTCCCTCTTTGCCCTCCTCCCTCCCTTCACTCTGCCGAGGCTGCCTCTCTCCAATGCCGCCCTACTCTCGGCACCCTACGGGCACCCCGTCGCGGGCCGGAGCTTGGCTTCCCGGTACAGTTTCGGTGAGCCGCGTTTTGAAGCCGCGGTGCCTGGCAGCGCCGGTGGCGGCCGCGCCGCCAGCTGGAGCGCCCAAGCCCGGGGCAGAGCCCCAAAGCAGTTAAGCCTCCTCTGCTGAGGCAGAGTGGCTACACCAGCCCCCCTTCTCCTTCCACCTCAACCTGTTCGGCTGCGTTAACAGGAGCCGCCGTGGGCTACTACAGCGTTACCGGGAGAAGAAATAAGAACGGACAGAGAGGGGTGAGGCAGAGGGATGGACAATAACACATCTTGGTTGGACTGGCCATGGGTTCACAAAACCCTTCTCCACAGCCAGCATCCTGCTTTCGCTCGTGGCATGAGGACCAGGACGGGCATGGGCAGGGCCAGCCTCCGTGCGAGGCTCTGAGCGGCGATTGAGGCACCGATGGGGCCGGCACTCGTGCGATTCGCGAGTGGAAAACTCTCTTGCTCACATTCGCTCAGCTCTTGAGTTATACAGCGAAGATGCTCTCCCCTTCCTGGCTGCAGGAAACTCTTCCAGCCCCCAAACCAAACAGAGCCTCAAAAACAGGCTTCAGGGTTCCCATAACGTGGCAACAACGGCAGCTGCGAGAATTCAGCAGAGCTCACCAGACCGAGCCCCTAAACGTATATTGCGCCGGACCGGAGCGACGCACGGCACCCGAGCGGCCAAGGGAGGTGGGCACTGCTGAAAAAGAGCCTCGAGTGAGATCGGTCACCGGGGATCCCGGCTGCTCTCGGCGTAAATCCACCGAAGGACCCGACCGCACGCTCCCCCCGCTGAGCGAACGCTCTCGTTCGCCCCGTTTCCCACCGAGAGCCGCGCAGTAGGCTTACGGCTGCCAAGAAAATAATAAAGCCCGCGAAGTGTCTTTGCACAGAGGAGCACTCTCCGGCCTAAGTGCGGGGAGCGGCTTCTTCAGCTACCGGTCTGTCCGTGCCTGGCACAGACGACGCTATCAAAGCCTCTCCCCAGCGGCATCGGTGAGAGCCGCTTGCCCATCCGCTATGTAAACCCTCCAATTAGGCACCAGCTTTCCCTGAACCGATTCCCCCCCGGTCCCTTTCTCCGCCGCTCCAAGCGAGACAGAGAAAGACGGCGAGAAGGAACACGAGGCAGCTCGCTCAAGACTTCCCCAGGGACGAGCGGCGAGGCGGACCTACGACCGAGAGGGGGGCTGGTGGCTACCTTTGGGACCCCGCTCGCTCCTGGCTCTCCAATTTAGAGTACATCCTACTAGGGAAAGGGCTACCGTCTCGGCATCTGCTATAACGCCTCCGTGCACCTGCCCTGGCTCTTATTTCAGTCCCCAAGCTCCCAATCCTCGCCTCTCCTCTGTGTGCCGGACGCAAAACGGAGTCAGGGACCCCCTCGGCGGCTTGGCAGACCCAGAGAGAGAAACAGAGGAGCCGCCCGTGGAAACCGCCGGCAAAGCCTCCCCGGCCCGCCTCTGGGCTCGGCACCCTCCGCCGGCGGGAGGCCAGACTCCAGTAAATCTCCGCGATCATTTGTTCCCTTTGCGTTTTGAAAGCAGAATGCCTAATCATGGCCAAAATCAGGTAAGAGCTGCTGCTGCAAATTACCCAGCGCCACAGGTAATTTCTGATTAGCTCACTCTTCCTCTCCCGGTGCATCCTCAGTTTCCATAGCAGCTAAGTCCTAAGTAAAATGGAAACATCTGGTTCAAGCGCAGGTAAAGATTCCCTGGGGAAAGAAACCTGCCGGATGGCAGCAAACACAGAAAATAGCCCTCATGAAAGACAGAGGAGGCATCGTAAGCCGGGAGCCTGGTTAGGAGAGGATGGATGGCTTGCGGGAGAAGGCGGCGAGGGGCTCGGGAGAGGCGGGTCCCCGGGGAGCAGGAGGGGACGTGGGAATGAGAGCGGGGACGCGGGGAAGACGGGATGCACGTGAAAAACGGGCGGCGAGGAGAGCGAGCGAGACCAGAACGCGCTGTCAGGGTACTCAAGGGGATGAGAAGAAAGAAGAAAAGGCTTCGAGGCGGGGGCACACGGAGTGCCTCCACCTTAAATGCCGCCTGACACAGATACAGTGACAGGTGACAGCAACTTCGATGCCACGCACAGACGCTCGGGGATGGAGAGGAGCACACGGAGGAGCGCACGGATCCGCCCTGCGTTTCATCACGCAGCCGCGCGCAGACCCTGACGGAAGGCCGCCGTCTCGCAGGCACGACCACCTAAGGCGGCTAAGCCCACACGTGCACCGGGGCGTGGGGGGAATGGTTTTTACAGAGGCTCCTGTCAAGGGAAGGGGCCCAGACGCCACCGACTCGACTCGCTCTCTGCCTGCACTACGGAGAGCGATGGATCTTGCCCC